GCATTCCTGTGGCATTAGCAGCTCTCCCTGCACATTGCTGCCTCCTCCCATCGAATTACAGCCCCAGCACAGCTCAAGCATTGCAGTCATGTTGCTAAAATCAAACGTTTACTCAAGCAAAATAAACATTGGCAGGGCAAGGCACGAGACCATGCAATGCTGCCCTCAGGCCTGGGCAGCCTGCTGCCATGCCAGTGCCCCTGGGCCTGCTGCACCATCCCTCTGCCTTTCCTCCCAGAACCAGAGGGGCTTTTTTGTGGAAATAAAACCCTAAGCAGCTGTGTTTGATGTGACACATGGTCTCATTTGTAGCCATACTGAAATATTGTCATTTACCCTGAACAGGCTTGAGGTGAAAGCAGGCAGGGGATGGAGCAAACATCTAAAAGAGCAGCTCAGAGGGGTGTCCCCAGGGGTTCCATGCCCTCAACACCATGGCTTCTGCTGATTCAGCAGAACTGCAGGGGCACAGGTGCTTGGTTGAACTACACTGTAGTAAGAAACATGGGTGAGTGTTACCATTCTCTTTTCAATGACTCCATAGTCTAGCAAACAAAAACCCATTGTTTTCCACCTCTGCTTAACAGCAGCAGCAATTTTTCCTGACTTGCTTCTGAGGACCAAAGTGGGCCAAAGCGGATAGTTAGTTTCAACTGCTGAGCTCTGTGCATGTAATCTTCCCAAAAATGATCTCCAGCCTCACTTAACCAACAGAACTGAAAGAAATTCACACGGCAGGAAAAAGAGGATGAAGATCCACCATGAGACTGTGTCAGCCCAGACTCCTCTTTGCAGCTTTCCCTTCTGGGCTGAGGCAACCTCTGCATCATGGACTGAGCTGTCACGGGTTTAGAAAATGCAATAGGTGATCAACTGGTGTCCAGGCAGTGTCCCATCGGACCACCATGTGCGCAGGGAGCAGACGACAACAAACCTGACACCAAGCTGCTGTGCAAGCTCACAAAATTCCTGTCCCTTGCTACACAATGATGCCTGGATTAAGGTTACGTTCCTCTGTGCTGCATTTTGTCACGCAGCCGCTATTTTGGTCAGGAAGTCAGCAAGCCCTTATTTGGGAAGCTGTCCCACTGAAGGGCAGCCTGAAGGGCAGCGAGATGAAAAGGCTGCTCCTGAAGGCAGGCCTGGGGGAGCCGCCTGGAGTCACAGGAAGCCCAAATCCTCTCTGCTTCTCATTAACATGCCAAGATCCTTTTCTCAGCCTCACCCCTGACTCTTCCTCTCCCCTCAAACTGCATTCTGTGGGTGAGCTACTTTCACAACACAAGCACTCCAGGGAAGACACTAAGAGGTGTAGAGATTAAATCCCCCTTCTTAGATAGAAAATCCTTTGTGTGAGAGATTTCAAATGCAGAACATGAAACAAGTTTGGAGATCTGCAGACATATGGCTGAAGGAGTAGCCCAACAAACACCAAGTCCTCTATTCAGAGGCTTTTTCTTTCATTCTTCTTGTCGCAGCAAACATCTGCAGACTGACCTGCATATACACAGCTAGACCAGCCACCACGTGTCCTCCAACACCAGTAGCAACTCAAGGAGACATCTCCCCATACTGGGTCTTTGCATGAGGCAGCCAGACGTGCACATTAACCCCAGCCACAGCTGCACCATCTTGTCTTTGTGGGCAAATTTGGTCAAGCAGAGCAGGCACCAGCCACACAGCCCCAGACCTCCGATGCCCACAGGCACTCAGGCACCACTGGGGCCAGTAGGATTTAAGTGCTGTAGAACTGTCTCTGCATGATTTATCTCTTCAAAAAAAGACCAAACAACTCCTCCAGGAGGATTAAAGCCACCAGGAACCTCTCACTTGTTAGCCTGCCTTTCCTGAGGGCAGCAGGGACAAGAGAACCCTTCTGTCTTGACTGTTTACCAGATTCTAGATGGTGGTACAAACCCTCTGTGCACTCTCTCCAGCACAGCACCCCTCCTGACCAGCAATAAAGCTCTTTTCATTGACAAATGTCACCCTC